CATATACTTTCTCAACCTACTGAAACACAAAGAGACTTGAAGTCATAACCTTCCAAATGGAAGTCCAACCCGAGTACCATTAGACCACATAGTCCTGGTAAGTGTGTAATTTATTACTATTCGTTATCAATTTTAATAAGTCAATAATAAAATAACATATTACGAGTATGAAATTAGTAATACATGACTTATATTGGGAAACTAACGGTCTTTGTACAACTCATAATAATTACACACGACGAAACTCTTTTTTCATAATTTACCATCTGAATATCATTTGAGTTGCTCGTGCACTTAAACCCTCGATTAAGCCTCATGTGTACATGGATGCATATGATTTAAAGGGAAATGTTTTTTTCTCTTCCTAAAATTTCGTCTCCTAATGTAACGTATATTCATTGGGAATTTATGAATGGGCTCATTAACTGCTACACCTCCTTGTAATTAAAACTATAACTTATAATCAAATAGTGATGCTGTAGCATTGATCATATTGAAATAGTTACACTTCAAAATGATGGTATTAGATACTCTGGCATCCACATTTGTGGTCTTTGTTGGGTTTGAAAAAATTGATTGCATAAGAAGAAAACTGATGGAACAATGGTTTTTCGTGATCTTTTTCTCCTACAAAAAATGTTTTTTGCGGGAGAAGAAGAGAGAGAGAGAAAGAGAGAAAGACAAACGCGCGTTTGGAGTGCGTTGCGCGCCATGTTCCCCACGCGTCTGCTGTGGCGCGTTATAGTGGCCCCCAGTTGGCGGTCACTCTAACATTTGACCGGTGATTTCCTTTTTTTTTTTTTTTAATAAGTGCCCATTTGCTTTTTTTTTTTTATTTTCTTTTTCTTCCATTTTTCTCTCTCATTAGTTGAATTTCTAAAATATTGTGCAAAAACCAATTTGATGTAGATGCTAATATTGAGTTGGTTTTAAAAAATATTAAAAAAAAAAAGAAAAAAAAAAGAGAGAGAAGAAGATCTCGGGTTAGGCCGCAAATTATGCCGTGGAATCGTGTTCACCGAGAATGGTGAACACAAGTCAAAACGACGTCGTTTTTAGGCAAAAAAAAAAAAAAAAAAATCGCGGATGTGGAATTAACGGCGCGTTACTGATCAAATTATGAATTTTCTGTTATGAGATTATGAATTTTATGAAAATTCATAATCTCATAACAGAAAATTCATAATCGCATAACAGAAAATTCATAATCTCACAACTGAAAATTCATAATCTCATAACAGAAAATTCATAATCTTATAACAGAAAATTCATAATCTCATGGTTCCAAAGTGAATGTGTAGGCATGGTTCCAAAGTGAATGTGCAGGCATGGATTCATAATTTATGAATGTCCGTGATTTCGGACGGGAATATGTAGGCATGGTTCCAAAGTGAATGTGCATGCATGAATTCATAATTTATGAATGTCCGAAACTCCGAAATTATGAATGTAATGAAAATTCATAATCTCATAACAGAAAATTCATAATCGCATAACAGAAAATTCATAATCTCATAACTGAAAATTCATAATCTCATAACAGAAAATTCATAATCTCATAACAGAAAATTCATAATCTCATGGTTCTAAAGTGAATGTGTAGGCAGTCACGTAATTAATTAAAAGAAAAAAAAAAGATAACGGTGCACTAACACCGTTGGAACCGTGTTCACCATGAATGGTGAACACGGTTCCATGGCATAACGTCTGGGGTTAGGCGGAGTGGGTTAGTGATTTGGGCCATGGCAGGAGATTCAGTTAGTTGAGAACGCTAGTGAGATGAGCGCAAATTTTGGTGCAGAATATTAATAAAAGGTATATTTTAAATATATTAAAGATACATTATTTATGTACTGAATATCTATTATTTGAAATAATATATTTTTAATAGTTAAATAATCTATCTTCAAATAATGTATTTTCAGTACATAAATAATGTACATTTAATATATTAAAAATGTATATTTTATTCATAATCCACATAATTGTGTGGATAATGGTCCATGGAAAAATGATTGTGAAATGAATGAGTTGCCCCAGTCGTTATATTATAGACCGCGGTGCATGTGCACCGCGGTCAAAAACGACGCCGTTTCTTTAAGTAAAGAAACGGTCCGCCGTTAGTGTTAACGGAGTCCGTTTGTTTGGTGTATTAAACATCAACTGACACTACAGTATATCCAATCCGACACTGCAGTTATATCAAAATGATACTATAGTTATAGTGAAATGAAACTGCAGTGTATATAAACTGAAACTGAATAACATTTCACATATTTGAGTGTATATTGTACAATGAAGCTGTAATTATATCAAAATAATCATGTAGTTGTGTTTTAATGAAACTATAGTGTATATAAAATAAAATTAAATAACATTTTCACATATTTGAGTCTATAAATATCGAATGAAACTATAGTTATATCGAACTGAAACTGTAGTTGTGTTCAACTGAAACTGCAGTGTATACAAAATGACACTGAATAATAGAGTTACTTTTTGCAAAAGGGTGCGAAACGACGAAAATAAACACTGTTAATTTTCATTTAAGAAAAAGACGCGCAGTGCATAATCGATTATGCACCGCGGTGCATAATATAATTTGCCGAGTTGCCCAAGTCCAGTTGTGTACTCCTGTCAAATGAAGGCTTGGAAAGAGCTGTAATTGGATTGTATTGGAATTAAGAGTTTATTGAGCTTCAAAATTAAACGATTTACCTATTGGGCCTACGCATGCAAATTTGTGCATAGTAATTAAACAACAGCCCAATTTTAAGTTCATTATTTTACTATTGGGCCGTATATGGTAAACTTTGTTTCAACAAAATGGAATATGTCGTAATAACATTCATAGAAATAGATTTATTTCATTCTTTATTTTAACCACTTTTTTTGTGAATAGTATTTATAGACTGAGCTATTCTCTTTGGAGTCCGGGTTATTATAATGGGCTTATTTTGACTTGTATGCTTTCAACCTTTAACTTTTGAGTCCAGGTTATTATAATGGGCTTAATTTAGCAATATTACTAAGGTGTGTTTGGTTTATAGGTTTATACACATCATGAATGGAAATTAAAATTAAAGTTATTGCTCGGATGACAACTTTTTTAAACATAGCTATGAGATTTGATTACCCCTTCAATTAAAAACATAATTTCCTACTTAAAAGCGGGTATCACTCCATCTCATCCCTCTTCATTTGTCACCTCTCGATTTGTCGCCTCATCACTACATTCCTCGGATCTTTATTCATATTGGTGTTTTGGATGTCATTATATTGATATCAATTGCCTTAAATTTTTATTTTTGTATTTTTAAAAATCTTTAATCTCATTATAGAGGTATACATAACCAAACATCAATATTAGTAATTCACCAAGCATGCAAAATACTTTCACTAAAACTCATTATTATTATTAAATATTTAATTTACATTTCAGTTCTGATTTGTATGTGCGAACCAAACACACCCTAAACTTGACGTATTAAATTATGCCTATAATCCAATATATTTTATCGCATTTTAATATTTTGCTTTTTGATTTTGCATTAAGTGGGCGCATGTTGGAAATGTTGATGGGTTCCACGTGTGGGATTCATTAGTTCAAAGGTTGGGGTCAATACCAACCCTTTATAATGCTTTAAGTCAGCCTTGTATTTTGGTGTGTATGTGGTCAAATAATGGTGTCTAAACCTACCACTTTATTTTGCTTTACAATGAGTTTGTAGTTGTAACATTATATTTGCAATATTATCTCATTAAAATACATATCAACATTTAAGTTACTTTTCATGCAAACATCATAGTATTTAACCGGTCAATAAATTTAATCCAAAGTTTAATACAATCATAAATTTGAATCCATAATACAACATACCCAACAATTATTTAATAATTGTCATATCCTTCTTCTCCCACACCGACAGACAGTGCGCACAAGGAATCTGCCCACTTTGGATATAATTCTTACACTGTAGCAGCCAAGGTTTAAACCTTGGTCTATTCTCTCTAATACTGCCCATTGAACCATTGAACTAGACCCGTACGGGCATAATTGCCATATCTTAATGAGTAATACTATATGTACTCTCACTTTTTACTCATTTTGTACTCCCTGCTGGAGTGTCATGATTTGATTGATTTAAATAATAAAGTGGACTACTATTTTCTTCACTCACTTAAATTTATTGGTACATGTGACGGGAGTTTATACTCCATGGGAGTACATATATCATTTTCCTATTCGAGTTGAGCTCAATTGAAGTTTCGTGTGGATTAGTAGCCATATTCTAATTTCTAAATAAATTAGATTTTAAATATACTAAATTAAAACGTTATTGAATTAGTAATTGTATACTAAATAGGTTAAATTAAAACTCTGTTGGATTAGTCCTATCCCATCCACAAATCCTATCCTAAATAGATCGAATTGAAACATAATTAGATTAGTTTTATTTGTACGTTTAGTTAGTCTTATACTATCAAACTTTTTGTCTACAAAGAAATACAATTTAAAAGATTTATATCCAACCCCTTATTCTTACTCGCACAAAATAAAGATTCGGACCATCCTATTTCGAAAGGATTCTAATTCATAGGATCCACTCACAATCCCACAAACATTAGTATAATTGTTATTGAAAAAATATATGAGTTGAACAATAAATCAAGATTATTATAGTTTGATTTCGTAGATAATCTTGATCTCTATCACATGACAAATTGGATTGGTACTTGTAAATGGTATCGGATTGGGAGTATTTGATAATCTCCATTTGGGATTTGGGATTTGGGTATTTGATTGCATGGATATCGATAATCCCAGTTAAGTGTGGATGTTGGAATATTACAGTTGGAAAAGCAAATAAAAAGCAGTGTCATTCATCGTACGTAGCAGTACTAGCCACTTAACAACCTTTGAACTAACGACTGAAAACGTCAACTAAAATCCACCGATTCTCTTTCGACCATTTCTTTGTTGTTATATACATAATATATACAATAAATATATATAAAGTCAAAGTTGATGAACGTTTTGTTAGCTGCCCCTTCAATTTCTCCATATTTTTCTTCTTCAGTGTACTTCTGATCGGATCTCAGTTTAACAGTTTTGTTCTAAGCTACAAGATTCGATCTTTTTGTTATTTTTGTTGAGAGGGTACGGTTGCGAGATTGTGTGGAGTGGGGAGTTTTTATTTTTGGCTGATTCGCGAAGAGAAAGGAGAGAATGAGGAAGGCGGTAGTCGGAGCGGCGGTGGTGGGGGCGGCGGCGGCCTGCGCCGTGGCGGCTCTGGTGGTGCGCCACCGCATGAAGAAATCTAACAAGTGGGCACGGGCCATGGCCATTCTCCGCGAATTCGGGGAGAAGTGCGCCACCCCCAACGCGAAGCTCAGGCAGCTGGCCGACGCCATGACGGTGGAGATGCACGCCGGACTCGCCTCCGAGGGCGGCAGCAAGCTCAAGATGCTCATTAGCTACGTCGACAATCTCCCCACTGGGTAACTTTTTCTACCTTTTTCCCGTTTGATCTTTTTGTTTTTGCTGCTGTTCTTCAATTTGTATATTATCATGACTCAAATCTGGGAAATTTCGGATTCAGAATTCTTGAAAATCCGTGAAAAAAAAAATCCCAATTTGCTGGAAAAAAAAAAAAATTCTTTCTGTCAATGATGATAGCAGATTAGATATGGAATGATTTCCTTGTTAGGATCACTGTTTATCTGTATTTTGTTATTGGTTAATGATTCTTGATCCATGAAAACTGTTTGCAAAATTGTTGTTGGATGTATATGTGAAAAGAAGCATCCTTAAATTGTCTGTCTTTTGTTGTTATTCTTGATAATAAAGTGATGAGGAAGGAGTGTTCTATGCCTTGGATCTTGGTGGGACGAATTTCCGCGTGTTGCGAGTGCAGTTGGGAGGGAAAAATGGTGGCATTACTAGTCAAGAATTCGCTGAAGCATCTATACCCCCTAATCTTATGGTTGGCAGTGGAGAGGTGTGTGCTTATTCGTACAAGATTATTGTTTTTGTCATATGTTGTTTCGTTATACGCCTGAAATTGATGTGATTCTAGGCCCTCTTTGACTTCATTGCGGAAAAGCTTACAAAGTTTATAGCTGAAGAAGAACAGAAGTTCCACCAACCTTCCGGAAAGCAGAGGGAGCTAGGTTTTACTTTCTCGTTCCCTGTAATGCAGACTTCAATTAATAGTGGGGATCTTATTAGGTGGACGAAAGGGTTCTCTATTGATGATACGGTATGTGCTCGTCTTATTCCTCGTGGTTCTTCTCATACTTCTGACGAGAGTATGTATGCTGAATTGGTCTAGAACTGAAACATGTTTAAGAAATCATATTCTGTTAACACCAAACCTAGGATCGAACATTATTTCTTATTTGCTCGGGTATAGGTTGGCAAAGATGTGGTTGCGGAACTAACAAAAGCCATTAAGAGAAAAGGTGTTTTTCTGCGGGTGGCAGCTCTGGTAAGTCGGATTATTTGCTAATGCCATTCGTTTTTTTTTTCGTTTTTCGATAGCAACATCACTGACTTCAATCTCGTGGTGGAAGGTTAACGATACTATTGGGACATTAGCCGGGGGTAGATATTCGAACAAGGATGTATCTGTTGCGGTGATCTTGGGTACTGGAACTAATGCTGCATACGTAGAGCGGGCCCAGGCAATCCCGAAGTGGCATGGTCCTCTTCCTAAATCGGGAGAGATGGTTAGGATGTTTATAATGGGTTTTGGATTTTCGTATAAAGATTATCTTTTAGTATATGCCCTGTTACTAGTTGGTTAATATGTTGCACGTTACACCACAGGTTATCAACATGGAGTGGGGTAATTTTAGGGCATCACATCTGCCTTTTACCGAGTACGATCAAGCACTGGATTCTGAAAGTTTAAATCCCGGGGAACAGGTGAGTACTTTTGTATGTGTTATTGAATATATATTTGATATATAGAATCTCTATATATTAGGCAGTTTAGGGTTAGTCTTCTATCTCCTATTTATAGGGCTTTGTATTCTCTATTCTATATGACAGTTTGAGGCAATATATGACAGCACATTTGAAACCCTCTCTCTCTTTACTATCGTAACAGTATGCATCATATGTTTCGGCCTTTCGGGCAGCTTGTTTTTGCATTTGAAGTAACATGTATGTATTGTTGTTTTTTCTTGTAGATATTCGAAAAGATGACATCTGGCATGTATTTGGGTGATATTCTAAGGAGAGTTCTGCTTAAAATGGCTGAAGAAGCTGCCTTCTTCGGTGATGAGGTCCCTTCAAAATTAAAGACTCCATTCGTATTGAGGTACCGTATTTGATTCTTTTATCGATGGAAATACATAACTTGACTGTTACGGTTTCTATAAACGAGATGTTTATAAAATATATAAATGCAGGACACCTGAAATGTCAGCTATGCATCACGACACATCGCCTGATCTGAAGGTGGTTGGTGAGAAACTGAAAGATATTTTAGAGGTATAGTTTCTTGGTTGCGTTTGTTGTATCGTCCTGTTTCACCTACATACATTTTTACGCCATAAATTTTCACTTCAGATACCGAATACCTCCTTTAAAATAAGGAGAGTAGTGGTTGAGCTGTGCAACATCATTGCGATACGCGGGGCACGGCTTGCAGCTTCGGGGATTCTGGGCATCCTGAAAAAGATGGGACGAGATGCGCCGAGAGAAGGCGGGCCCGTGAAGACCGTGATCGCGATGGATGGCGGGCTATACGAGCACTACACCGAATACAGCAGGTGTTTGGAGAACTCTTTGTATGATTTGGTGGGAGAGGAAATGGCACCACACATTGTGTTTGAGCTCTCAAATGATGGTTCTGGGATTGGTGCTGCTCTCCTCGCGGCCTCCCATTCCTACTATGCTGATGAGCAGATTGCCTAAAATAAAAGAAGTTTGATGCACAACTGTTTTCGCCATTGCCAATTTTCGATTCTTTTAAACTTTTCTTGTCTGTTAGTTTAGGAAAAATGTTGGAAACCCAACATATGTATTCAAGAACTTTAGGTTTCATTGTAGATTACTGCCATTTTTATGAGCTCCATAACTCTCTTTCTGCTGAAAAACCTTTCATCAGGATATAATAAAGTGGAAAGTTTTGAATCTTTGGTAAATTGATGTACAGAAATCCATAATGTACATGGTACCTAGAATGAATTTGTTTTGTTTCTGATAAAATTGTCCCAAAAACAGTCACTTATTGCAGAAACAATGCCACTGATGATCTCTGCAAAAAGAAAAAAAAAAAAAAAAAAAGATTCTTCATTGTACTATGCCTGTTTCATCACAGCAAAGCTCACAGCTTCATCTGCTTTCTACCTGGAAAAATAAACACCCGGGAAAATTCTAAGGTGCCGATTATAGTTGGTACTGATGTTGATCGGTACTATGAAACGAGGATGAAATCTAACTCACGGTTTGGACTTTGGAGTAGATAGTTCTGAGGTTTTCGACACGCGCAACCTCTTCACAGTGGATACAAATACACTGCAAACAACATGTGAAGATCCTTGAGAATTCAGAACAAACAAACATCCTTATTCTTGGATTGTTAAGAACAGACTAACATGCAATTTATGGTTATAAAAAACAAAAACAGGATTATTGGTGAAGAGGATAGAAATATTCTGTCTAGGCATCAGAATAATGCAGAGAATAAAGTAAATAAAAGAGCATCAGATCAATACTGCCATTGGACATCCTTAACAAGCTTCCTGTCTCCTTCATTATCCTCAAAAACTAGGGCATATTCTCCTCTTCCATCTAACAAGCTAGCAAACACCTTCCCTCCTTCCTTGTACCCATTTTCAGTTCCATTTTGAGCTGAATAAAAAGTACATTAGATATACCATTACTAGAGTCGAACTCTACTGGCTCGACCCGAGCTGAATCTGGATTAGTCTTACTGTGGTGGAAAAACACCCGACTATTATAATAACAATGGAAGTATTGCATAATGAAATATAAAAAAAAAAACCTGCGAGAAGTCCTGTAAAAAGTTGATCAACAGCAGAAGAAAGTTTTTTGTAGGTGTCACAGGCTTTAAGGTCCACTTTCCTTCCAATGGGCACCCCATCCATGTTGATCTTGACAAACAGTCCTTTCTGGCTACTTTCAACCAGATTTTGTGGTTTTAGGAAGCTGCTGCTGCTAGCGCGATTCTTTCTTAACGAACGAATTGGCGGCCACCCCACAACTGAACAAGGAGCAGATCTGTTCCATTGTTCCAAACAATATATGCATTTTTACACAAACAGAATTAACAGATTATCCAGGACAAACATATATAAAACAAAAGATGAAGCACCTTTTCTGAATGCAACCAGGCTGCACTGATTGAAACAACGAGAATTCCTTCGCCCGGCCTCCATTAATACACTCCAAGAACCTTCTCTCTGCTGCAACACTGGATGAGCCAAAAGAGACAACTGAGATGTCTCCACCTGGAGGACCAAGTCTGAGCTCAAGCTCTTCCTCTTCTGAAACACCATAGCCTTTTCCTTCCCTCTTCTCTACACAATCTGTCTTGCTTCGAATCAAATCTAACAGCTGAAGACATTTCTCATCCTTTCCCAGATATCCCTCCATCCCCCTTTTACTCAACAAGATCTGCACACCAAAACTAAGCAAAAACAGAAGTAAAGGCATCATCTTTAGGAAGAGAATCCCAAGAACCAGAAAGGAGCAATCTTTAGATAAGCTGGAAAATCCCAAACCTTCAAAAACCTGCAAGAATGAACAAAAACATCTACCCAGAAGTAGAAGACTTAAGACAACAGAGAATCCCAAGAACCAGAGACAAAAACAGTGGCTTTAATGATGGACTGTGATCCAAGCTTTAAACTTTCCTCTCAAAACCCCACTGTTTTTTTGTCTTTTTGTTGGCAGATTTAGAGGCTAGGACTTTAGCCGCAGATGTAAACTGCAAGGGAGCAAAAAGACATTGAATGGGAGATGGATTATTCATGTGATGACTTTATACGCAAAACATAATGTCTGCCATAAACCACAATGTACTGATTGCAAGCGAAGCAACACGAGGGTTGAAGATTTGCACTTTTTACCATAAATTCTGCACTGCTGGATTGACTATTGTGATAAGTGATGGAAGAGTGGCGCCAAATACATTCAAGGCTGCCATAACTGTGCTTCAAAGTCCAATTAGTAGGTTTTGTTGTTTCCTTAAAGTCAAGGACGAACCTTAAAGAACCTTGATTTGATAGTGCATGTGTTCCAAGTTGTCAACGACACAGATTTATAACCTAATGAATTTAATTATATTGGGAACTCAACGTGGTGGACCTTTGAATTTCAACGTTAAGCTTTGCCTAATTTATGAATGGATTGGGAAGACTATGGTTGCCTGCTCACGTGTGGGATGTCATGCATCATGTCTATGTATATTTGAAAGCATTTTTCTATTAAAAAAATGTTGTTCTTTTGTTTTTTTTTTTGTTGAAACACTCATAATTCTTTATGATGTAGTATATGTTCTATACTTTCTTAATCTTCTCCAGCCTAAAAAATCAATACCCCAATCACCAAGATTCGATCGTGTGACCACCTATTTGAAATGGTAATAGAGATGTCATCACACTCTTGTATCTGTCTCTAGAATCATAGCACTCAATTGGTAGCAAGACTTGGGGCCTATTTGGTAAATCGTTGTTAGCTGATTGGGTTAATTAGAGGGTATAACTAATTGATAACATTAGCCAATTGTAGAAATGTGTTTGGTAAATTAGCTGTTAACTGATAGTTGTTTAGTATAATTTCTTTTTTAAAAAAGCCAATTGAAAAAGTTGCTTTGAATAGTTTTTTGAGTTTTAACATTTTGAAGTACAAAAAGTTAACTAACCAAATACTTATATTAATTTTTAAGTTAATAGTAGTCAAATAAATTAAAATTGTTTTATAGACTAACTATTTTACCAAGTTGTTATTCTTGATAGGGTATCTAATGACGCTGCGCTAGAGGTTAAAAAGGTCATTCTTGAAATATTGATGTGTTGCATCGTATAATATTTTTGAAACAATAAATTTTGATAGTAAACAATATTTAAAATATATTATTCAATTAATGTATTAATTATGGTGTTTTAATTTTTTTAGGAAAAAAAATAATATTTATTATGCTGGGATGGAGTATTTAAGAAAAGGATAATTCCAGAAGTTTAAGTCACGCCAGAATTCAAATCGAGTAACGGTCACCGGTGAGGGAAAGATAGATAGAGAGATAGACGATGCTGAAGAACGTCGACGACAGCAAATCGACGGCGAGGCCGAGATCAAATAGAATGCCGTTACGAAGCATTCCGAACTCCAACAATGGCGTTAGACATTTGTCCAGGTCGACCAAAACCAAGAAGAAGCTGCCGGGAAAGAAAGAACAAGAAAAAGCCGTCCCCGGCGATAGCTCGCTTGACCGTCTCCTTCTTGTTCACTCCGACCTCTCCTCTCTCGTTCACCAGGTATATGAGTATATCTCACTCTCATCATAGTCGGTCAGTGGGACTGAACTTAGATTTTGAGTTCGATTCGCTTGAGATGCACAGCAAGGGTTCCTGATTTTGGTGTTGAGGTTTTAAATTTAGGCGCTTTGATTCTGCTTCATATAATCTATCATAATGTTCTAGGTTTCATTTCATTTTTAATCAAAATCCCTAATTTTCAATCATGACGGTTTAACTTTAGTCATTTGCTATGTTCTGGTGAATTTGTCTAGAAGGAATCACTTTATTTACTTTGCAATTGTGATTATATGTTTAGACATGGAAAATTAGAAACACAAGATTATGTTTCCTGTGAGTCAGTGACAGGCATTTCTTAATTAATCCAGATTGATGAACTTGTTGTGCAAGCACTAACTAGCAAGAAGGAAATTAAGGAAATCAAATCTTTTGCAGATTTCCTGTCTGAAATGCAAGTGTCTTTGAAGGTTGGTTCTTAAATTTATTCATCTAAATTTTAATGCATCATAGTTACTTGTTTTGGCATGGGCTCTTTATATAGTGTATTCAAAATTTGCAGCCATGGGTTTCTACATTTCAGAAAGCTCTTTCTGATACATCCACAAGGCCTGAAAATACAGTGGAACAGCCACTGGAAAGTAAGGTAGTCCTAGTCCCTGCTGTTAAAGAGGATATGAGAAATGTTGTTGACAGCCCTGAACAGTGTAAATGGGATTCTCTGGTTTGTTCATCACCCCTGGTGTCTTGGCCTGCAGACTGCACTTCTGGATGTGACAGGCAACTTTTTCTCCTCACTCCTTTGCCCCAATCTAAGGGTCTTTTATCCAAGTTCAGGGAGTCTTCTAAATCAATAGTTGAGAAGATTAAACCTGACCAAATTCCTCAGCTGCCATCGGTTTTTGATGTAATGGGTGACAATCTGCTTGATAGTGCAAAACCAGAGACTACATCTAAAAGAACTGGTCAGCCTTTATATCACCTTGATGTTACAGGAAATGTGAATGACCAGAAGCTTGGGAGTATTGCAGTAACAGCCATTCCAAAGGAAGTTTCTGATATTGCCATGAAGAAGCCGGAGGGCACTCTAGATAGCAAGCTTGTTTCCCCTGAGAAAGTTTTGTGTAGACAGAACTCCATACTCATGACCCCGTGCTTGAAAGTTTCACCACCCAAGTCATGTGTAGTGCTTGAACCTGTGTCAGAATATCATTATAAGGGCAATCTTAAGGTTCATAAGTTAACTCCATATCCTAGTGTACTGCAGTTTTCAAGTGAATCTCAGGATTCAGAATCATCCACCAGTCAATCTTCAGAACAGCTTAATGTGAAGTATCCGGAACTCTTTGGGATTAAACTAGGCAATCAGTTTGATAACAGATGGAAGGTGGCAGACGAATCACCAAAATGGTCACCCCCCAAAACATGCGTTCTATTGGAGCCGCCTGAAGATGCAGCCGGACAGTGCTTGATTCCTGAAACTGCTCCAAATCCTAATCAGAAAAACTTCTTACCAAAGAGAAGTAGTACTCAAGGTATGTTACATACCTGAAGAAAACTTGCAAGCAATATGCACCTTTTAACTTTATTTATAAACATTTTAAATTCTTCCTCTCTGAATGACAGAACTTGGTAGCAAATATGAACTCGTCGAAAGCACTCCCATGATGAAAGAACCTGAGAGCTGTATCAAAATCGGAAAACATCCAGGTGAGAACACCTTGAAGAGAGAACTATGGACCAAGTTTGAAGCAGCATCCACACATGCAATGTGCTTCAATCCACCCACTACACAGAAGATGGCTCTGCAGAAAGGGTTTCTTGACAGATTGGATGAGGTTTCTTCTGATGAATGAAGTTCTGCAATAGTGTGGAAGAGATGATCAAATGCTTTCTGTGCTGCCATGACTCAAACCAGAATATGGTGCTAATTTTGCATTCTATGCTACTCATGAAATCCATTTTTTGAAAATTTGCAAGAACAAGTTTCTTCTTACAATAATGAAATATGTGAAGCCTACTTTTTAAGCTTATATGGCCATTTTTTTTCCTGTGTAAAACAACATTTAAGCTTTTCTGCTTGTATAGAGAATGGTTGCAGACCACACACTACACAACTGCTAAGGAAGGCAATGGGGCTAAAAGAAGTTAAACTGTTAAAGCAAATGACAACACACAAGGCTGGCAACAAATGAGAATCATCTAATAAAATGTTGAAACTTTCAAAAAACAAAATTTTTACTAGTTACAAAGAAAAACTCTTGTCAGTAATCTCTTGTACTTGAGAATCTACTCTACTTTCAACTTTCTTATTACCCTATTGTACTTGAAAATTTTTTGCAATCAATCAGATAACTCGTATTCACCGCCGCTAGATTGGTCTTCATCCGTGTCATGCATACCCTTCTCTGAATGTAAACCATCTTCTAAGCTCATTCTTGATCTCTTAGAATCTGAACCACTCCCCTTGAAACTTGAATAACCCTGCAATAGCCAGGAAAGCGAGATGAGATCAAATTATAATTACCCTTATCGGGGAGGGGGGCAAAGGATGAGGCCAAATGAATTTTACAAGCATAATACCCCTTCATCTTTCAATTCAATGACATCTACTGTTTGTCTATTCCTTACTGTCACTCTTGCAGGTATGGGAAACTGTTCTACTTCTTCGTTTGATTTTCCTTCTCTGGCCCTCTTTTTTCTCAATGAGAGTTTTGTTGGAACAGGCTGTATTGCACAACAAAATTAGTACTGGATTTGATAGCGGAAGAGCCTATAGATCCTATAAATAAAAGAATTTACCATGTAGCGTGCATCTGATTTGCCACTGGCCACAAGGAATGTGGTTAGATCATCTGTGTCATCACCACGTACCTGTTGATACATTGAAAAAACATATTTCAGAGAAGTTAGAAATTAACTTGAAGTTAACACTCTGAGCACTACATACATCCCAGTGATACTCGCGAACCCATGCATACGAGATATCCTCATTTTCATCAAACATATCCTTCTCCAGCTGTCAAATAAAAGTAAGTTTGTTAGTCAAATATAAGTTTATGAGTGAATAACAGAAAATATAAGGTAAGCAAACATAGCAAATATACAGTGCAGTCTACCTCATTGGGTGAAGGGACCATATATGCCAGAAATTTATCAGATTTAGCAGCATCTGAATTTCTA